TAGATATAAAAAAATTGTGACAGATATCATAAAACTATCGATAAATATGAATTAACATAAAAATAATAGTGTTGCCCGTTGCCCTCTAGTACTATATCTACGATATCTTGTAGATAACTCAAATTAAAATTTTATCAACTTAAGTATACGAAATGTTTTAGTAGTCCTACATTCTATACAACTTTATACAATGTGTAAGTACATAAAAAAATTTGATTTGAATTTACATGTTTATGTGTTTTAAGCGGTTTTGGCCATTACTTGGAAAAATGGCGCAAGGTGGTCTAAATGTCAGAAATAATTAAGGCAATAATAAGAAATCCGGTTGACATAGATTTTCATTATTATACGAGTAGCACAAAATATTAAAAAAAGAAAAAAAAAAAGGAATAAAAGACAACCTTGCTTTGCTTACTAGAACAAATCGGATTGAATCATGTAAATACAAACAGTATTAACCTTATCAAAAGCCGAAAGACACCCCGGACTTATTGATGGTACATCTAAAAAAATGTTAAGAAATATTCGTAATTCTCTCGATGTTTGAATCTTGGCGCGTGGTGTCCTTGGACGTGAAATTTAGCCGCATATGGTGAATTTTCTGGTAAGAGTATACAGCAGTTTTATCATTTTCGGTCCAAAAACTGCCTATGCAAAATAGATGGCTTTTCTTTTTATGAACGACACTTACCCAGTGACCCGAGCGCTTCTGAAAATAGCCAACCGAGTGCACCCTACATAGAGGAAATTATTATATATATATACCTATCTGTTTCGCTGGCTCATTTGTAACAATTTCAGGTAGCTCACTCCATACGTTCATTCCCAGTTGGATGAAACAAACAGCGCTAACAAACGCTGCTTTGTTGTAGTAAGTGAGATTAGGTTTGATAAGCTTGCGTCGTATACACTATACTGAGCGTCTTATCAATTACTGTCGTATTATCATATTATTCATTTTGTAGATTAAGGTAGAAAAACATCGTATGCGACATAAACGCTTAGCACAATTCGCCCGTAGCGTCTTCGCGCGTATATAATCACTCGTACTGAACTAAACGGATAGTTTCATGAATGCGTCAGCTGGCGCTTATTGCACAACTTCAGATCAGAAGATCGGTTTCTCCATTGCTCCCTTATTCCTGCTTATTTCTTTTACCTTTTGACCTCATTCTGGCAAGTTCCCATTACCCCTCTCCCTTCACGTTTCTTTTTTTCTATTTTTTGTTCTCGCTGCCCCTCGTCCTTCCTAACCGTAAGCATTAACACGAATTCAGGTATTAAACGTATTTGTCTTCGAATCGTAAATGGACGGAACGGGCTGAGCTAAGTGTCAGCTGTAACACGTAGGGACACCAGCAACAACAGACGAATTGGGGCTGCTTTCGGTGGTAGCTGGGGTAACAACGACTGTAGCTGGCAAATTAGGTCTGCATTTTTCGGTCGGCTTCAACCGGTAGCCGCGAGTTCCGTAGCCGTGAGTTCCGTACCCGCTCACTGCCGAATTAGAAACCTGAAGATGCGAGTGAACGCAAGCGTCACTGTCGTCGTTAAGCCTACCGAGGATCTCTGGTCTACGTTGAGTAAAGAGAGGGGCTAGAGACGGGGGAAGAGGCTATCGTTTCTCCTATCGGTGGGTAGGTGGTCGCGGGAGCGAAACTGGATATTCAGCGAATATTTGCCTCTCATGCCAGGGTCGCGGCACCGGTCGTTTCTCCAGCCTTGGAATAGTTGTGACGGTGCCTAGGAAAAGAACAACGCCAGCAGTTGCTAGGAGTAGTACAGGACAAAATCAAATGAGGCAATGTGAAGGGAAAGACGCGAATTACGCGGTAGAGACTGTTGGCAGCAGCAGTGGCCGACTACTGCCGGTTTTACTGTCATTCCTACCAGCCAGAATGGCTGTGGTGGTACTAGGAGCAGCGGCAGCCCCTGCGGCCTCGCGCGGGTTTAGCAGAACAGCAGAACGAGCTTGCCACTGTGACCCGCCCCCCACCACAGCCCTGCTGTTAGTTTATCTCAGGTAGAAATTCAGAGTAATTGATTGGGGATTCGTTTATCGATAGAAAGGGAACTCCATATAGCGAGGTGATGCGAAGATAGAGCCTAAAAGGGATCGGGAAACGAAGGAGGGTCGATTTAGGGACCCGTTCAGTTTCGAGTTGTTTTCCGCTGGACAAACGCCACGCACTGCCAGGTGTTTCCGAGATCGAAAAACGCACAAGGGGTAAGCTTGACCAACCATCATCATTATTACCAGGCAAACAGCTGCCTTGGACAAACTGCCAAGACTTCGAAAATCAACAATAGAACATCGCACTGCTACTGTAAATAGTTAATCATGCAAACTGTGTGGAGTCTATCACTAGCACTACCAGCTGGGTCCACCAATGTCACAGACCTTTCTTTCACTATTTTTGTAGCATATAGACGAAACAGATAAAATCAAATTTTTCTGTTCGCTATTGATCCTACAGTTTTCTCTCTGTTTCATCGCTCCAGCCAAACTGACTACCTAAGCGGCCGTATCCGTGTCAGTCAGTCTGTCTACAGCCTTTTTACAGTTCTCTATACCAGCCATGTCAATTCTGTATGTATATTTGTTTTTGCGTGTGGGCGTGCGTGTGTATGTCTCTCTCACTTAATGCTTACAAGCGACCAACGCCTATATGCCATCTGTGACGTGATACGTTCACAATCGTTTTGTATCTGTTGCCATATAATGCTTCCAGAGCTTATTTTGTTATACTACCTATCTAGTAGCTAAGCGGTAGCAGCACTGTAGGCTAGTATGTCCTAACGCCGCGGTACCAAACCGCTGAGGGTCTATTTTTCTGCGGTGTTCGCTTCTTTATCTCCCCTCGATGCCCATTCAATGGCAGTGATAAATAAATGTTTAGCCAATAGATAGCGGTCAGATTGAAAGAAACAGACAGCAGAAGAGTTGAGCGGGGCGGGACGGGACGGGACGGGAAAAAATAGGAAGAGCGGTAATGCAATCAACAATGCATCGTATTGCCAAAATTCTGGCTCAGTCCTTGCTGCGAATGCTGTTTGCGGCTAAGGCGCTAATTTCAATCACGCCAAACCTTAACAGCTACCTCGCCAGCGACGAAAATGACAATAACAGCAATGATTGCTACTTCAAATACCGAGCCATGCCCATACTAACATAGACGTGCAGCATCTTTCTTCCTTTTATCTCGATCTTCTTGTCGGATCAATCTGCCGATCAGCCCCTAGCTATTATGACGTTTTGCATGGTTTACGTTTTTGACACACTCGCACACGTATGCATATACATTCACCCGCAATTGAATATCGAATGAAGTCATCGGAAAGAGCCCTGTTTTGAGGAAAGGCCTGTGCCAGTGACCTCGTTCTTCTACCAACTCCTGTCTCTTAGAGTAGTTCATACATTTGCATTGCACAAAGACACCCACAGACTTATTCCCTCTATTTGTATAGCATTCACACACTTCGTGGCACTACGGAGCGCGAAGCTAATGAAGGTTTATAGCAGTTCCTGCTGCATGTCTACTAAATGCTCACTCATTAAGGTCGTTGATTCTGATGAATTTAGTTGGTTAGTCATACTAACACAAGCAAGATTCTCTGATTATGACGCATGCTAGTTTTGCTACCATGTTGCCTTTCATCACAGTGTTTTACGCCCACATTTTACCCATCGCTTTTGTGTCGAGGCCAATATCTGCGGGATGGCGGAGCACCTTTTGTGGACGAAAGGACCAGCCACGCGCATAGGTAGGCAATGGGCAAAAAAAAACGAAACTGGCCATTCGCGACAAGGCCACAGTGAAGGTGACCTAGCAGCAACAACACCTCAATGATATAATTGGTCTACATTATTTTATCGCACAGGTATGCATATCGTATACTCTTCTGTGGCGGCAGGACAGGCCATATCAGCACATGTGTGACAACAAAGTAACACATACACGTTAGTATATCACCCTGCACACCCACAAGTGTGCCAACTAAGCGCACTCGAGTAGCCGGCTACAGCTGCCGGCATTTAGCAGATTCTAGCATTTCTAACGTTCCTTAGCATTATAAAGTTTTTCTTCTTCTTCCTCTTTTGCTTTCTTGACAAGCTCTGCCCAAGCGAGGTTGGCCGGTTAAGGCGGAACATGTCTTGTGGATTAAAGGGTTGTCGTAGTAACAACGACGATGACAAATACTTTTGTAATAGCAACGATGAGAAGTGATAATCCTACCAACGGACGATATGGGGCACGCGCCGGCGTCAACCATACATCATGGCCACGGCCATCGACCGAACACCGCAAAAAAGCCCAGTTCATCTTTTCCTCTGGAAACTACATCCTTTCCACGCAACTTCGCTCTTCTTGTAGCGCTACAGCTCTTGCAAGTATCTTTGTAAGCCGCTCAGGTTATGTCAGTCATCATACGCTGTTCGCAATCCATATGAATGCAAGCCCACACTATCATATGATTACCTGTAATGGACGTCTTAGTCGATTGAAATAGTGAAAGTAACTATAGCAGCTCCGATAGCACTCATAATATTAATAGTAGGTGGTTGTCATCAGTCGTATAACGTTCGAACCAACAGCGTGAATCTGTTCTACGTAAGAAGCTATGTAGCCGGCGAAAAGTCAATATAAAGAGGAATTTTTATTGCCGGTTTTTCTTGAAGTGGCGAGCCGCGATAGCAACGCTTGTCGTAAGGGGGGCTAATTGACCGCGTCTTCAAGATGTGATATTGTATTTGCCTTGGCAGTATTGGAAAAACTGATAACGGTTGCTTCATAGGATTAGTAATGGAGCTACGAAACAGCCTATCGCGTGCGCTCGGTCCCGTTGTGGTCCTTGTCAACGTCCTAGACACATGAGGGGGTTATAAAGCGTTTCACTTCCGGTGATTAGTGCATAAAACGATTTCCCTCGCCCAATTAGCCCATTCTAAAGTGCGATTGAGTTACGTTACAAACATAACGTCGAGCTACGTCAAAAATTGTAGCGGTACGTGACGCTGGACGTTAGTGCGGATTGAGTCAAGCTGCGTAGTCTAGCAATAGGTTAATGCGATAATCCATACGGCTTTTAAAGCTCGATCCGATTGGAGTTGCAGTCAATAGCCATTCAGTGGGCTACGGTTTTTATAGTAACAATACTCGCAGGCGCAGTATTGCATGACGTAAACATCTTATCAGAATTCAAAAATCAGACTTATCAAAATGTTAAAGTTCAGCGTGCCTGATAGTATTCCGGATCGTTTCACACCATGGGACTATGTGGCATTCGGCGTAATGCTGTTGTATTCTGGTGCGCTCGGGGTGTACTGTGCATTTAGCGGAGGACCGAAGAACACGATTCGTCAACTCTTGATCGGCTCTGGAACTCTGCCTGTTCTGCCGGTATCGACGTCGCTCATGGCATCGTTCATATCGGCTGCCTACATTCTCGGAAATGCCGCCGAAGTCTATGAGTATGGCACGATGGTGTTTATGACCTTCCTTAGCTACTGTGCCATGATCCCAACGGCTATGCTTTTCTACTTGCCCGTGTTCTACAAGCTCGGTAAGAAATCAAGGGAAGCGGTGATTATGACGACGCCGCTAATGTTGCTGATGATGAAGAAAAGTGCATGAAGATATTTCACCTCATATCGAACACGCGTCAAACTGAAGTGGGAAAGGGGAGAGCAAACCCGAACACCAGAAAGAAAACGATCGAAGGTCACTAACGTACAAGCACACTGAACACAACAACATTGACACCTTCGATGTACGAACGCTTGTAGCTCGTTTAAAGCAGAGCGCATACCTTCCAGCGGCTTTTGTCTCTTCTCTCTCTTCTTTCGCTCCCTTTTGGTGTGCATCTATACTGTATAACATACTTTATCCACAGGTGGAATAGAGAAGGTTTTTGCTGGCAATGCTATCGTATTTCCATTAGGCTTTACCATCACTGCATCTTGCCACCAACCTAATGGGCACGATCATTTTCTCACTACCGCGGCTAATGAGATGTCAGCACTGCATATGCCATAGGTTAACTAAACAGGCCATTAATCTGTTAGATTCTCCATTTTGCCATCTCTCTTGTTCTCTGTCCGTAATTGGTTGAATTTCCTAGTAATTACCCACTGTACGATTTCAATGCATTGACCTCGCAGGAGTAACAACAGCCTTTGAATACATAGAACTGAGGTTTGGTCGAGTCACGCGCGTTTGTGCTGTCGTTGTCTATGTCATTCAAATGCTCATCTACGTCTCTATTTCACTATACGCGCCGGCTCTGGCTATGTCACAGGGTGAGTACTTCTCTTGGCCTCTATTTCTCCTATATGTACATATAGAAGACGACTATATATATATGACACACAGCGCATAAGTACTCTGTATTCGTATCCACGACGAAAAAATTGTCATTTATATGGAGCACGTACGATCGATACTAAATGGTTTTATCTTAGAGCTTATACCAGTGGATTATGATCATAACATTGTATGTCAACAAACCTGAAGCTGAATGCACTATTTTTTTTTCTACTGTCCTTAATAAATGTCAAGTAACAGTTTGTGTTTTTCGTGATTCACGTAATGAAAGCCGGTACGGTTTACGCAAGTTGCTTTAAACCTCCGTTGTGTGAATGAAACGGAGCGGTACAAACGTGAATAAGCTGTAATAATGCAATGAATGCGAGTAAACAGCGCACTAGCAGTAGTTAGTCGACGGCACAATCTAGAGCGATCATTATCAAATACCGCCTAGAGAAATGGAAAAGCTATCTACGATACATAGAAAAGGCACCCGTACGGAATTACATATCCATGTAGAGCTACGTACAGCTTAACTACCATCTTTCTTCTCTAGAGGTAGAAGAACATATTGCTTTCACCTTCCTTCGACAGGCCACAGCTAGAACTATATTCTAGCCCATGCGTCCTAGATTAAGTCACATCGCCTCTTTACTATCTACTGGAGTTTTCGATGCTTGATAATGGATAATGTTCGTCTCGGCTTTGATTAATGGCCATAATTCATGTCGACTCCGGTGCCACCCGAACTTACGTTCATGGCGGCGGTGGTGATCGCTGAGTTAATTGTCTGTTAGGCACTCGTTTTGTTGTTCCAAGGTCCAGGTTGGCACCGGCCACAGCAGCGCTACCAGCTCATTAACAGGTCGAAGGCTTGGCGGTTCCTTTGTTTCCCTTCTGAAAAACTCTTAGCCTGTCAATCTTTTGGAGCGGACCAGTTTGCCCCACTCCGACCGATTTCGCCCGTTACATCATCCATCTCATTGCTAGAACTCATAAAACCCGCATAAACATGCGTAATCTGGCCGATAACCATGTTAATAAAATGGTATCATTTCATGTACATTGCGTATATGTACCCATAATGGGCCTGCAACTTCTATCGTACCCTTGTGTGATGCTGTAAACGCCATTGTGTGACGACCATTTGATTAAGAGTAAAGTCACTTTAATGGCCGCCTGGCTGGGCCAATCGTGTTACGGTGTGTAACGGGACCGTCAATCATAGCTTTACCCTTCAACGGATTTCGGTTGAAGGATTATTACGATCTAACAGGTTTAGAGTGGTGACCTTGTGCACAACAAGAGCACTTGATAAAGGGTCGGCATATGCTTTGGTCTACTTCCACTTGACCTATCAGAGTAGTTTGTTCTTGTTCTAAATGTGCTAACATTATTCCAAACAATGCCCATTTCCATACTTCCACTTGCCTATTGTCACTCCAAACTGCAAATAATTACTGCTGGGTACGCTTTACTCATCTAAAAGCAAGCTTGTGTTTATACTGGAAAGGCAAAGAATATCACACTGGAAAACTCGTAGGATTTCTAAGCCACGACATATTTGTAGGAAACGCGCTTGCTTATGTCAATCTATAAATACTGATAAATCGGCATTAGCTTAAAAAGCTAGTTTACGACATTCTGGAATAGTCCAAAAGATGTTATCATGCAGTGGGACAAGCCTCATCATATGGCTGAGAAGACCCTAGCGTAACTCGACATTTAAATTCCCAGTACGTGATTGTTGTCCGATCGCGAAATACGGCCATCTGATTGAGGTGCTTGAAGTAAATGCTGTAGGAAACGTTTTTTGCCATTACAGTGCTAGTCTGACTCAGCGCCCTTCGGAGTTCGGTCTTTTGATTCGTATTGCAGTCGTATTATCAGTCAAAGGGATCTAGGTATACACATAGCTGGTCCTCGTGACTGGGATCGTAGTCCAGCGTCGTCGTAATAGATAAGGCACGTAGCACTGTCTGAGTTAGCTTGGGAGGACGGTGATTATACTCTATTACACTTCTAAACTCGAGATATGCCTACGCACATTTTATACGTTCTGTTAACAAAAGTCCTATAGTCCTTCAAAAACAAGCCCCATTTTTTTGCCAGGAGCTGAAAAGCTCTGGTGGGCTGTATAAGGGCTAAGCAGTTTTAGCCCTATGCAAAATGCTCATAGATATTTCTCAGAAATGTATATTATTTTAGCAAGGCTTGCAAGAACGTCATATAATACTTGAACATATAAACGAAAAAGCTTTGGCCATAGTACCTATAACATGTTTAATTAGAGCAATTATTTTCAGTGTTTCTATAGGGATTTTATGCTTCCGACCACATTTTTTTTGCCGGACAAAAAAAAACACCAATTTCAGTATAAACATTTGTTCCCATATTCAATATTCTGCAACTATCCATCTGTTTCGAACGACATGATGAGACTCTGCATTTAACCTTCTTGTTCCTTCGTTAAAAATATCAAACGTGGCACAAGATATGTTTATCCCGTAAATAAGACTGGTAGACTAATGGGACGTAACAGTTTGATGAGGTATAGTATCAGGGAGGTCAAACATAATTTACATTGTTAAGCAGCATTGACAGTTGCACCAGCCGCAACAGCAGCGGACGCTTCGTGTCTGCGTTTGAGGTCTACTCATGCAAGGTACAGCCAGCAGAGGTGGACGCGTACCACCGGTAACTTTAATAAAAACCGACCGCGGACCGGGTCACGAAGTTACGATGTAAGCTACCATATATCTATAAAATGTCGTTTACATTCTGTGTAAGTTGTAATATTATAGGTGCCAGTACTCGGACATCGACAGCACGGACAATATAGACTGGCTAACTCTGGAACGGCTTATAATTTTTACTTGACAAGGGCTGTTGGCGGCCTGTGCCTTAGTTGTACCTGATATGGGACATTAACAGGTCTGTTTGGTTGATGTCGACGTTGCAGTGACCGGAATGGATTTGTGGATTGCAATCAGTGCTATGGGGGTAGTGTGCACGATCTACACGAGTATCGTACGTACATTTCGAGTATTTCTCTATTTTTCTGTTATTATTATTATTTGTTGACCTGTTGACCAAGTTGCTTGCTGCTTAAAGCCTCATATTAATAGCAAGATTTTAGTGCTACTGAAGTATTTCTTTACGTAATTAAGTACTCTTGCTTTTGCATTTATTTTTATTTAATTATTCATGTCGTCTTCTTTTGTTTGCCATGAGCATGAGTTCGGCGCCATTTTGAAGCAGATATCGTTTTTTTCACCCTGCCCAGCTTATCTATACCTTTCTCGGAGCCATCCCGTTCTGCTGTTTGCCTTCGTGTTGTCTCAGTGTCAAACAGAGGCATAGCAGCAAACGATCGTGATCTAACCCCACCCCACATTCCGACTCAAAATTAGTGGGCATCGTTCTTTACAACTTCGTGAAGCTTACAAAAGAGAAATTACAACAGAGAGAGAGAAATCGTAGTAAAAAAAAAACGAATAGTTCAACGGTCACTGGGTTGGGTTAAGCGGGATGGAGATTAAGTTGGAGTTAACCCACTTTGTTTCGTTCAGTCCGTGTGAAAGCTGCTTTTGATCAGTAGCTAGCTCACGATGCAAAGTACTTAATGATCTAGAGCGAACGCGAGACGGGTACCCGTCACATCATGTCACTGGTAACTGCACCGCGTCTATAGCGGCGCTACTATAAGCCGCTTAAATGCTGCGATCACTGTGTTCTGTTTTCCAACTTTCAACGGCTCTTTTAACATCGTTAGACTGGCTTCCCAATTTCGATTCTACTTTTTCCGTTCTTTCTATTTCTTTTCTCATGTTTGATCTCCCAATGACAACCCAAGCGATAAACTGGGAGGCGGTGCAGCATTTGTATACATAAGCGCGAAGATGAATGTGGTAAGGCTGATCAAAGGGGTTAGCGGAACACGCCTTTGGCAACATGGCTGTTAAAGGCTACCTTCGAGGTAATATCTGGTGTAGACATGGATCAGACACACGCAGAACGCTAATAACTGAGTTGACTTTAGGTCAAGCATCACTTGTCTACACAAGTCAGCATAAGAGAAGCTTGCGGCTGTAAAAATATACAACTATGTCAATTAATGTTTGTGGAAATGTCCATCTTTAAAATTCGAGGGACGAACAGCCAACGTAAGTTTCACATCGCTATCGTTCTCGCTTGCGATGACACGTTTGACTACTTTTCGCTCTTCGCACGTTCGCCTTCTTACATTCAGTTCCTGCTTTCCATATTCATCACTCCCTCCCTCGAGCGGTCCGAAAAATAAGCCCCTTCCTTGTTCCTTTTTGCAGATGCTTCAGTCTCCTTCAAGAAGTATTAGTCCTTAGCATAAAGTTGGCCGGTTCTCCTTATGTCTCTCTCCATTTTTAGATCGAGGGAAACGCGTACCAAAGATAGCAAAAGATCAATATGCCGGATCGCACCGTTTCAGTAGCTGCGCGGGATATCTTTTCCTAACGCTGGTTGACCAAAGAAACAACGACGGTGGATTACAAAGTCACCGAGAATAGTCGGCCTGTGCATACAAGAGTGGTGTGCAGGGATTGGGGGGGACGGTAAAGGCCACAGGCACTAGGATAGGCACTGGCGCAGAGCAACATAACAATAGCAGGAGCAAAACTGCAGCAGTACCCATCGACAATTTTAATGCAACCAGAATGGTGAGCTAGCTACTGTTAGAACCTACAGCTGTTCTTTGGGGCCTTACGTCCTCGAAAAGCGTTCAACCAGGCTCAGCTAAAGCCCGATATATATCCGTCACTTTAGCAGTAGCAACAAAAGTAGCCACAGGGAGTAGCAGCCGGATTGTGTGTACATGCGTGTTAGAACAACATCTCGACAGCAAGAGTAAAAACACAGGACTTTCTGTGTCCCGCATCTATAGCTACTGTTTTACACTATTTTTCTCTCCAGCTTTATATTATTTTCCGCTTCTTTAATTCTTCGACGATTACATCCTTTACGCAAAAAGTAAAAAAATGAAAATGTACGAAAAGGCAACTGGCATTTCCACCTGTACTAAACTCGCCAGCTGTTGCTAATTCTAAGCCGTTACTAGCATTTGGCTCGTCTGCGCTATTCCTCATTGCTTGAGCGTTCTTCACTATATCCCTTTTCTGCCGTCCTTGCTGAGCTCTCTCGTATGCTGAACTTTATGTTCTCTAACGTATGCCAACAGCCACTCTTAGTAACTATTGCTACAAATAACAGCAAAGAGATCACATTCACGTATGGGTCAATCTTTACATATGTACGCGTATCTGGAGTATGTGCGGGCATGTACGTTGAGGCGGGTAAATCGGTCTGTGTAGATTAATGTTACTCAGAATGTTGGACTAGATTCTCATTCTATTTTTGTCTGCGTGTCCGTGTTCTCAAGCCTAGAATTGTTGTAAACGTTTTTCCTTATGAGCCATTTTATGTTTATGTGTAAATTGCCCGTTCGGCACTGCAACAATTAGGCGATAAGTAGCCTCTTGAGGAAGAATCGTCAACGCTTCGGCACGTCTCTGGACTAAGCTGCGGAGCACTGATTTGGGACAGAAGGAACTGCCCAATTGCTAACCTATTAATTTCTACTTCCATGACCAAAATTGTCTTCGGCAGCAGAAACACGCTTGTTTCTCCTGTTAACGCTACTGTTGTTATTGTTTTTTCTTTTCGTGTGTCACGGATGGCTTCCTTGCGGCGCCGCTGACTTTGTCGACCAACGAACCCTGAATACACATCGGCATCGTGCGTGCCTCACCATCGGGCCGACGCCCTCGACGCCCTGGTGTGATTGGACAACTTTGCTGAAATAATGCGTTTGCTCGTCCGTTAACTCACACATTGCGGCTTGCGCGTTGTTTGACACGCCGTGGTTCACTCGTGCGCGGCGGTGTCCGGATGACGTCAACTTCTGGCACGATGGACGTATACTGGGCCAATGTTCGTTCGCAATGTCGTCTGATCCTGCCAACCGATTGCTGTCACTCGACGGGAAAGCTTCTCATCGAAATCAAATTTACGGCAACATCTATACGTAGGGAGGTATCAAAGCTGTAGTGTACACCGATACCTTTCAGGCGGTCTACATGACCGGGGCGCTCATTATCGTGATTGTAGCTTCCGTCATCCGCTTTGAAGGAGTCGCCAACGTTTGGAACATCGCCTTGCAGGGAAACCGCATCGAATTCGGACGGTCAGTTTTTGCGTTCTTTTGCGCTCCTAACGAACACATCTCAGCTGGGTTCTGGTTTTTCATTAAATACAAATGATTCAAAATGTAAAGGCTCACGTCGGGATTCGTTAGTATAGCTACCATAATTATCAGCTATGCCAAGCAGAGCGTAAGTATCTCTACACAGCGGCAGAGTCATCGTTTAGCTTAATGGTAACACTATCTATTGAAGGACCGCTAAAAGCCAGTGTTCTTCTTCGAACGCATTCAATACCGCCAATATTCCCCCCATGGAATCATTTTGTCATTGAGGAATATTCATTCATTGCGGAATGAGATGGCCAGGAGAGTAAACTTGAGGTCAATGACATTTTCACTTACTCGCAGCTGTATATGCGATACATGCAACAACTGTATATCAGGACCGTGCACCGATCCTATGAAGTAAACAGAGAACATTCTATGTACCATAGCGAGTGTGCTAGTGCGTGTAAATACGCACAGTTGTGTCTGTCCGGTTATGTCATTCTGTTTCGAAGGGCCTAGAACTAAACGTTAGAAATCGCGTTCTATACGACATAGGGAAATTCTAATTATAACATTTCCTATGTGTAAAGTTCCTAAGTGACGAAAACTTCTAAGATGTGCTCAAGCTGCTAGGTTGGTCTGCGTTGTTCCAGCAGTCAGTAGCGCCTAACCGCAAACAATTAAATGATCGAATTAAAAGGGAAGTGTATTTGGTGGTTTTATAAGACGAGGATACTTAACAGAAATCGCAGATAAACAGTATTTTTGTTACATAATTAATACAACAATTACATAATAGTTTACACAGGCTAGTTTGGTGGTGCCATAAGTCGATCGATGTTTCACGGTGGAGCAAGCTAGCCGAGTGGAAAGTCGTTTATGAACAGCCATTGGCATAGCCTTTGTCGTTTACCTATACTTCACCCCATAATTTTCCTTTCGTAAAACGAAATTATAGTACCGACTATGCTTTAATCTAAATTAACGATACTAAATAATAAGGACGGATATGTCATTTCGTGTCTCATGGAAGGCAATCCCAGTGGGCAAGGGTACCACCCGCTTTTAATATCTACCAATATATAACCTAGACTCACTCACTTAGTGTTCTTCTTATATTTAGTGTGCGTAGGTTAATCGACACTAAGCAGACTCCTTGTTTCGAAAATGACACCTTTTGTTGTTGTTTGGTGTCTACTTTTCCCGCGGCAGGCCAGGACCGTGGTGCAAATAGGCATCTCTTGTCTTTCACAGTTCACGTTCATTTTACAGAATTTAACACCACTCTACAAGGAACAACATATCTATGTTAGTTATTTTTTGTGTCTAATAAAGGAATCCTAAGTGAACATTTAGACGACTTTGCCTAGCTATTAGAAGTTTCGAAGGGGTCAATATTACGGCGTCCTTCTCTGTATGTTACCTTTGTTTCGACTGAAATAAGGCTATTCTAGCTTGCTACCTGTGAAGATCGAGCTTGCAAAGGCAATACGACGGTCTTCCGGGAAGTTGGGGAAAAACGTCAAGTCCGACCCTTCAAATCGCTAACAATAAATAGAGTCCGGAGTTAGAAGGTAGACATCACATTCGCCGACTGATTTCTTTACGGAAAGCAGCATTTAATCACGCCACGCTTATATGTCGATTGGCTAAAAATGTGTTTTATTTTAGCACCGTTGCATTCTATCTAACAACATCTACCTAAACGGTAACATTGGACCATGTTAGGTATTTTTTGAGATTTTCATAAAATTCAACCGTATTGGATTGCGTCTCTTGTCGACTTTATTTCAACTTTTGCCATTTTCCCTATAAGGACTAGCCCTCTAAATGAGCTGCGCCTTATTTTTAGCGGGGCTCAACCTCACATAGGACGCTGACGCTGATGTGCATTAGTAAGATTTTGCGATGCGAAATAGTATTTTGCACGCCTCACCGGAGTTCCGCTACCGTTTTGTGGATTGTATAGGGGACGTTTTTACGTGTTCCGGCAACTTGTTTTCAAAGGTTGGCACCTTTATTTATTGGCAGATCGTACAGTTTATTGAATTACTCTTTTCCGTCCTGATATAGTTTGCTCTCATTGCGCTATGCCAACACAACAAATACAACTCTTCGTAGATCTCCGTTTTTTAATCCTAAGAGAATTATTCAATGACCGCAGACGGGATTGGATTAAGTTAAACGAACGTAGAGTCGGGAACGGTTGCTGCTCGCAACAACACTAAGTTAATTACGACAGAGTAGATGAGTAATTTTTATAATGATGAGTAAATATGTATAATAGAATAATAATTCTATTATATATATTTAAGTACAAGTGATCAGAAATGGTCTATGGCTCCTATTTTTTTCTATTTGATTTTTTTACGAATTTTTTTTTTAAATTACGAATATTTAGACTGTTTCAGCGTTACCTTCTGCCAGGCTTATAGGAACCATGTGGAGGCGACAGTGACAAAACAGCTCCAAGAAAAAAAGAAGTTTCAAAATAGTTCTAACGTTGCCTTTTCATCTTTTATTTGAATGTAAGTTATTCAAATCTGCAATTAGATAAACGAAAACCTGAGAAAGATTCAAGAACGAGCAAGTACTTATTTCTGTGCTTATAAAGTTGTTAGTGCGCTTATTGATTCAGTAGATGAAAAAAGACAAGGGGTTGGTTGACCATTTGTCACCATTTGCCAGAATGCCTGTGGATGATCTGTTTTGAGAAAGCACTATTTTAGCGAACGATACACAATTCAGTAAAAGTTGTTTGCAAACATGCTTTACATATAAACAATTGCTACCTTCATTATTCTTCAGGCCTGCCTCGAGAGTAGGCTTGCTTATTTGCTGCCTCGACTTCATCTGCAAACCTAATTTTTTCTTACCCTTTCTGCATAGTTACCAGCCTAGCTTTCTACGCAATTTTCTAATTCTTATTGGCAAATACTGTATCATCATTGTTCATTAAATGATACCTATTGTAGAAGTCGCGCGTACACAAGAAACTGATAGAAAAACAGTGGCTCAAAATAGCTGAGCGTCATCTATCATAAATCACACAAATGAAATAGCCCTTCAATCTAATTGAGTGCATCATGCAGCGGCCTTTGCAGTATCTACTGATTATGCGAACGGTAAACAAATTCGTTGCTCGACGACTTCGCTCACTTAAATGATGACTTTGAAGAACGTTTTTAGCATTTAGCAAAAACTTGGAACAAATATTTTAGAAATGTACGCTCTGATTAACGCTGAAACGGAAGCTAGCTATCGTTCAATTTTTCAACTCCCCGATTCCATAAAGTTAGTCCATCCAGAGAAGTCAAGTCATATTGACAATATATCAAGCAAGTTGCGTCCCTTTCTAGCCGGGATCTGATTATTGGCTTGGATCTTTGGCCACTCATCTTCGATTAAAAAACGTTTGTTCAAGTCCTCTACCTCTTGCTTAGAAGACTTGTAGCCAATGAAACGCACGATTTGGATTACGCTTGTACCCAAACTGCTTGATCTGTGTTGCAAGCTCGAACTGTCCTCTCACCAACCCTCTGGCAAGCTGATTTGCGAGTTTAGTCCTCGCTTCCTGAAGTCGAAGTTAGCGAATGGGTCGAACTATCGTAGAGGATCGCCAAAGACTCGATGCGCCTTCATCAGATTTGGCCCACCTTAGCCCCCGTCAACCCTCACATTGAAGCCATAGATGGAACGATACGTTACCACCAGTGCTACCGCCAACGCTACCCAGCGGCGTTGACGCTGCAGGCAGCCATCGACAGAGCGTATAGTCAGTCTGCACAGACGCCAGAAAACTGAACCGAACAGATCGGCCATACTTTCCACAGCAGAATGATAACTTGGAGGCAGGGCTTATCGAGTTTGGAATTGGACGAGAACGGCTATGAAAAGCAGAAATAGAGAAAAAGCTAGAGTGCACCAACGGGAACGAACCAGATTTGTGAAACGGGATGGTCCCCTACTTGCTTAGCTATAGTAGAACGACTGTCGACGGCGATTGAACTCACTGTGGCCTTATACAGCAACGCGTTCCCCATAGAGGTTTCCATCCGGGCAATACCCAACAGACGAACAAAAAATCTAGTGTAGTCGTCTCTAGCCTGCAGCCTGTACAGCCCGTTCCCAAATGTTTGCGTTTACGTCGCACTTGCTATTCATAAATATGCCCATCGCCAAGCCGCATATCTATGTGCGTATAGACAGCCAAGCGTCTACGCCGCACGAGTAACTCTGCGCAGCGAAGTTAGGTTAAAAAAAGTCATTAGTGATTAGCTGACGGGCCACTTTTTGTGTTGTCGACTAGGCTGATGCGAGTCGAAGTCTTTGCCGGTCTGAGTACGGTAAAGTACCACAAGCAAACTACAGACGGCCAAGCCAAGTATTAAGCAACGAGACTCGCGACGAAAGTCGGAAACAGCAAAGGTCAATGGAAGCTTATGGTGGTGAAGTAGTCGGGTTTTGTTTGGCTTCGGGTAGATGGGACAGACAGCAGGAAAAGTCGTGGTAGCGCCATTAAACCATTAGGCGCGTCTGTGAGCGTGTGAACGTGAGCATATGAATGATCAAGCACCTTGAGTTTGCAAATGAAAAAGTGAATGTTTCCTTCTAATTTGACTCTTCCCCTAACTCGTTCCTCGAGACAGCGAAATCTTGGGAATAGCTAACGAGTGATCCAATAGACCGACATCTCCTAAACTAGCGGATCCGACGAAGAAGCCTTCCGCTTCTCTGTTTTGCGTTTTCTCATTTAATTCAGACGTCTGGCAGCATAAGTAGCAGTCGCCTTTGCTGCCACAGAACTTCACACTGCTCTATCCCACACTTTGTAGTCTTACTCCGGCCGGATCGTTCGTACTCGCTCTCTCCGCCTCCCTCTCTCAATTTCGTTCACCGTATACATCCGAACGATAGGCCGCTAATGTCGGCTGAAAGAAGCAACCAAGGCAAAGCAACACGGGGCACTAACTACTTGGCCTTGAGGATTTCGGGGCCACTCGGTCTCCCCAGGGTGAGTGGCAGTGCCAGAGTGGAGGAGCGGGCTTTATATGCGTTGCTTTAAATGATGCAGTCTACATTGCGCCAGGCCTGTTCCAAAGCTCGTGCCTGAAGAAGGTGGTTTCTACTGAAATTTCCTTCACACCGCAGCACGCGGCCGCCGTCGTACGAATGGGCAAACGTTCATTACATTAACGTTCTATATATGTACATAGAAAAGCAGATATTTTTGGTTCAAAACAATTAGGTAACAACTTAATCGTTTCTAAAGAACTGATAGCTAGAGAAACGTATGAGGTGGACTTCCGTGGATAGATATAGCAACGTTTCGTGCTGAAGCTTTATGGCGTTCGACAAATGAGTGCGAACTGTTGGTAGTGAACGGAATGCGAACCTTTAACTTAATAATGAATTATGATCATATGGGACTAATTAGAAACTCAACTTCTGCTAATTCTCGAGCGCAATGACCCTTATTTCATAAAAAAAGATTCAAACGAGTAAGGTTGTTCGGAGGTCCGCTTTTATGGTCAACCTTTTAGCCAAATTATTTATGACTAAATTTGAACGGACCTTAAGTAGAATTTAAAGCAATATCTATTGAAGAAAATGTTTAGCCTAATTATCTCTAAGCTGAGTTCGCTACTTTTGTTTGACCGACTTGTTGACTGTTTCGCCCTATCTCTGTACCGTTTTCAGAGTGGTCAATGGGTTAACTGATAAATATTCTCTTTGGGGCCTATTCTTTGGCGCGTATTTTACAAACCTGGCTTCCTATGCGACAAATCAAATGATGGTCGTGAGATACATGACTGTTGATACGCTCGAAAAAGCTCAATGGTGAGTACGATTCGATAAAACAAACCAGCGTTTATTTGTGCGAACCCTGAAACATACGTACACGAACAAAAGCATCCATTATCGGCCTTTATTAACTATATGAACTTATCGAGTTGACGCGTGTGTGACTTTTGAATACTCGAACGTATTCGACTAAATGCCAAAACGAAGAACAGTTTCCCTATTCGTCCAGCCGTCTTAATCATTTTGGAGCTTTGGAAGGATTTTTACAACGAAAATGATCATGGTTCATTGATTGGTTCTCATGCACAAAATAGATAAACTTCGATCCGTAGGAAATCAGCATAACCACCTCACATGCATAAAGGCGAACGGATCGAAGGCCACAGTGTAGTCAATACTTTGAAAGTTTTATAATTGTAGATGTCGTTCGTTGCGATCCTAATACGATTATTATAAATCATTTCCCTAGATATCCCGTTGTCCAATATATTACGGTAATACTTCCTAAAGTGCGGTAGTTTCCTTTTAGTTAGCTTTATCCTATACCAAAACACTCTGAGCTGCAATGATTACTGGCTCTTCATTGAGCCGATAAGGAAATCTTGGGATTGAATCCAAGAGCGTTCCACCCAGTCAAATAACAGCAAAAAATTATTTAATAAGATAGGCCGGTCGCCTCGTTAGTGGTGTACCAGGACATAGGGCTGTCCTCAAATCCCTTCGAAACCGTCAATAAAGAATATCATCGCTTTGAATGTAGATAGATCTCCAAATTCTCCAACTACGAATTTCCGCATCGTTGAATAATTTTGTTCTAGTTTTGAGTTTTAAGTTATCTAGGTTAGTTGGGGAAGTTAGGTCACAGCAAAAGTGAATTATGTTATGAAATTGTCGAAATGGGCTTGTTACAAAACCGGTTCCATTCGTAAAACAAGGTTGTGCGTGAGGGGTATTGCCTAATCTGGATAGTCAATATTGTTTCAGATAAAATTGACCCCAACAGCGAAAGTTAAGCACATCTGGTTGTGATTATTTGGGGTTCATGTTCTGCCCTGTATCTTTGCATTTGAGGAACCAACAAATACTTATTATACCGCTGAAATATGCGGAACTGGGACCGAGTAACACTGAACCTAACTGATCGCTAAGCTCTTCTCGGAATAGATAGATTAGTAGAATGTATTTGTATATACTACAATTCAAATATGACTGCTGCAAGAACGCTGTTCTAAACGTATTTAGCTTATTGCAAACGAGTGTACATTCTGTCGTCGATAGATCACATCAGACTGGGAATGAACCAGCAATAACAACAAAGAAGATGGCACGTGTAACTTATACCACGTTTTTTTTCTGGTTAGCGATTGTTCCGCAAAGAAAAACTCACATAATTGACAGGCTTCGTTAGTACATCACTTTTTTTTTTATTTATATTTATGGACGGCAAGTGATTAGCCTGGATCGGTTGTTCATATAGAGATAGAATCCACTCAGGGTTTTTTGCTTATAAATGATATGATAAGATTTTTTCCGCAGGATTCGTATAAAAAAGAGGTAGTGAGGCCGGATAGTGATGTCAGCACAGATCTTATTTCTTCATTAGGGGTTAACATGATTGAAATCGACGCTTCAGTAACTTCACTTAGATCGAGTCCGAAAGAAAACACAGGCTGTTGAGCCATTCATCTCTAACGCTCTTACTTATTCGGGTTTGCTGGCAGTTCTCTCTCGACTTCTGCATACAAAAACGCATCAGGCAGTAAAATCATCTTTAAAAATTAGTTACGAGTAGAATAGGACGCTTGTAATGAAAACCTAATATTACCAATGTCAGCTTGTTTTAAGCGAATGGTGGTTTCTTGCGGTGAAAGGTGCGGGAGAGCTGCTGGGCTTAATTTCGTCTAGCTTGACACCTACACAGCGTTTGCAATAATTAAAAGCTACATGTAAGAGCCTTATAGAACAATAGTAGATTACCGGAAATGTTTACAGGTTAACTGAGGCAGGAACTACAGAAACGAATAGCCTGTTATCATAACCTAGAAGGGTTTCGTCGAAATGAGAAGATTGGCACCCTGTGTCTTCAGCGATAGACGATTTTTCTCAAATCTTAAGCAAAAGCATTGAAATATAAATGTATCTCTATCAAAAATTGTTTTATCAATAGAAAACTCTTCCACTAATAAAAACACAGCCATCTTCAAGTGGAGCAGCCTATGAAAAATGCAAATAGCTTCTCCTTGAGAAGAAGTTGGAGGTAACGCGCTGAAAAAGATCAAGAGATATTGCTCCAGACTCGTTTTCACCAACTCTAATAACGACACATCCTGGTAAAACTCCTATAGGAAGTTACAAATTGCAATATCTTCTATTTGAGACTGTACGAATAGGCAAATCAATAGTTAATTTCACAAAAACTTAGCAAGCCTTTAAAAAACTTACCGCCTACTCACAGAAATAGTCATATCACAGTCGTAAACAGTAATCAGGCCGCGTATTTCAGGGAAGTTTCGTCACCGCTCGGTATAAACACAGCTCAAAAACAGCTGCAAAATATAACGCTCACAGCGGTTCCATCCGTAAGTTACCTCTCTCTATGTTATATTTGACGGCTGGCCTCGGTGTGCTCGTCAGACGTATTGGCGGCCGTTTGACAGGGTGATGTCGTTATGGTCGCAGCTAGAACAGTGTCCCTTTCGGTTTCGAGCAAGTGGAAACTATTCGGTTCGCCGAAAAGGACGATACATTGATACACGGATCGTCGGGTCTGGACAGAAGAACACATGTCGAACTCACAGGGGTTGATGACGAACGAAATCGGCACAAAATACACGATGAGCTCTGTGATGTGGCTGTACTTATGAGAACACGATCCTGACGACGGAAGCGGTCGACGATTGTTTTTGTTTGTTTACAGAAATTTTATATTTACTGAGAGAGAAAACCTACACACAGAAGCTACAACGTTTTTACACAGCAGCCAGACTGTGACTTGTAAAATCAATAACTACGCGTTTCATACGCGCCGCTATTTTACTCATTGTGCGCACCATGTTCATATTTACTTGTGTGAAGTTACCAAATGATATAAAATATATGCTAAAAAAGAGAGAACCACCCACTTTCTGGTGGCTTCTCCCCCTGTAGTCGTTTGCATTTCAACGTCCTGCTGAACCCCAGTCACCCACGCAACTATAGAAGGACGGATTGCTCCTTCCTGGAAAGAAAGTCGAGACAGCAACAAATCTATAGAGATTTGTCGCCAGCGTCGGAGAATCGCCAACGATGGAGGTCGCTGCTATCAAGCACTAGCAGGCCCAAAAATCACGTCACATAATTTATTACACACAATGCAGTTTTGAGATCGAGTGCTGGTTGACGCTGGCCGCCCCTGTGTCTACACAGTTTTGTCGCTGGATACTGACGAACATTGGAATTAGCACGTCGGAGGAACAGTTAAAAGTAAAAGATGCAATAGGACAAAGACTGTGCTATCGAGAACAAGCGTTATAGAAACCAGGGAAATAGCGGTGACTGTTGTATGAACAACGTGTAAAAGCCTCATCATTCGGATGAAGCCCTGGAACGAGCGGCCTCCTCCAACTGCTGCCAGTAGCTCATTAGTTTTAAGGAAACGGAGGCACAAGAGACGAAGACGCTCAGAGACAAACCAACCGCTATTGCGAGCGTTTCTGCTAGCAATGTCAGTCGTGGAGACAATGGGAAAAGTCGCAACGCTGGTGGAAGTGGTATTGAGGACGACAAGAATGAACGACCTACCGAAAGCCGATTATGTTTTATGTTGCCCACACAGGCGAACTACTCCGGTTCACTCCGTCCGAAGAGCTAAGTATAGGGAGCAAAGAATTCAAAAGCAAGAGAAAAAAATAACGTGGCCGTAGAGCCGCTCAGGGGCAAAAACCCGAAAGCGAACTAGGCGTTTGAAAGTCATCAACCGACATTGACTCAAGGCAAGACGAAACCTGTCTGGTCATACCAGCTTGCGGTATAGTCCATTCGCCATACAACCTAGACACAACGATAATAATGACAGCCCGGTTAAAATTAGCTTAATACTCCAATATGTCTTCGCACGTGCGTCTATTATGAATGCGGGTATCCGTAAGCTGGTTTCGCAAAGACCAATGCTGATGCCTGAAAATACAGTCGTACCGGTGAGGAACCCTAATGATAGTATGATCCAGACACACAGGCTCCTCCTACCGTCCAAAACATTGCTCATAGTTCTTACCAGCATGTCGAATCACCATGGGGATTGCGACCGTGTAATGGCGTCTGCGGGTGCTGGTTAAAGGCAGTCGACGTCCAGCGACGACGACCGTCATAACCCCACTCCCCAACGATGATGGCAAAGCTGGCATCATATTACTCGTTTACAACGACTGACGTTTTTTCGTCGTTCTTCTCTCCCTGTTCCCACACTCTGTTGTTTTCTGTCGGCGACTCTACGACGGGCTGGCCGTATAACTGATTAACAGAACAAGCCGTCATACTGTTGGGTGACGGCATCGCCGGCAAGTGAATGGCAACATCAGAGCCTGCCTGTTGCGGGCCGCCTCATAAAGTAATCGTCCAGGGGCTGACATATGGGCAAGACTTAGTGGTTGTTGCTCCCAACGCCTGCGCTACGCCAGCAACAGCAGCAGCGAGCTCTTGATGTTGCCGGTTGCAAAACAAAGCATACACACAGATATACACAAACAGAAACGTATAGACGATCAGAAACACAGGATGCTGTTACACACGAAGACACTTGAACGAAAACTCACTATCGCCATACTGTCAATAGACGCCGCACCGCATACAGACGTGAAAAAGGATAAGCTTTGGACGTGGTTGGTCGATCCATTGGTTAGTTTTTACTGGGCGTATTTCCTCCGTCCATACTCCCGCACGAGCGTCTTTTCGCAGAAGAAAATGGAGGAGAAGAATCAAGCTATCCAAGAAGGCGAACCAAACAACACACACATTACAAACTACACGTCTCCCGGCCAAGATCCTCTATTTGGTAATGG